TTATAAGGCATTTCACTGTGGGTAGCCTTGGTAGAACTCACCCAACTTAGCACGACCTGTTAATCACACCAGTGTTCACTGCATAAAACCAGACATTGTCAGGAAAGTGCTTTACTTTGCTCTATTCTAAATACCTTACTCGGTCAGATGGATCTTGCTGCTTGTGTTGCTAATTGCATATAAAAAGTTGGTGGACAAATATGTGTATGCGTGATTTTAAGGGTATGCATAATGACAACAGTGGCTTAACACAAGCAAAATAAATACCTTGATTTATTTAGTCTCTCTTTTAGTTTTGACTTGAATGGCTTTTGTTATGGTTTGTTTTTACCATAATGAAAATAAACTTGAGCAAGCGACCTCTTCCTTGGGACTATATTACATCTTCTTCTAGTTTTAAATAGCAGTTTACATCATACAGCTTTTCAGCAGTGATCACCGTTCCTTTGTGTAGTCCCTTTATATTTTTAATATGTGGCTGATTGCTTTCTTTTGAAGTTGAGTTCTGTGTTGTGCATCAATCAGCACTGAAATAAATGAAAGAGTTATTCTCATCAGGAGTACATAGTGAGGAATCTTTTCTGATTTCATATACTGTAAGGCACTGTAAGTTTGTCCTGCCTGCAGCTAGTCTAAAACTGTTGCTGGTATACTGCCTGTATACAACTAAAAAAACGTAAAATGCAGAAATTCATTGCTCTTTGGTTCTCACATTTATATTTATGCTATGTTTGCTTTTTATCAAATTAGGATCCTGATGCCTTAAAGAAGAGTCAAGGTGTTGGTCCAATCAGAAAAGTTTTGCTCGTTAAAGAAGACCATGAAGGACTAGGAATTTCAATCACAGTAAATACTTGCATTTATTTTCCATGACACAGAAGAAGCAATTTGAATTTGTATTTGTACTTCTGTAAAATAAATGGATCAGTGAATCACGCACACACAGAATCACAGAATGGTCAGGGTTGGAAGGGACCTCTGGAGATCATCTAGTCCAACCCCCCTGCCAGAGCAGGGTCACCTACAGCAGGTTGCCCAGGACAGCTACCCTCAAAGTAAAGAAGTTCCTCCTCATGTTAAGATGGAACTTCCTATGTTCAAGTTTGTGCCCATTACCTCTTCTCCTGTCACTGGGCACCACTGAAAAAAGACTGTTCCCACCCACCTGGCACCCTTCCTTTAACTATTTGTAAGCATTAATAAGATCCCCCCTCAATCTTCTTTTCTCTAGACTAAAATGACCCAAGTGCCTAAGCCTTCACTCATAAGAAAGATGTTCCAATCCCCTAATCATCTTTGTAACCCTTTGCTGGACCCTCTCCAGCAGTTCCCTGTCTTTCTTGAACTGGGGAGCCCAGAACTGGACACAGTACTCCAGAT